TGACGTGATAAGTGTCATATGCGTTATGTCCAAGTAGAAGTTTAGATGGCGTGTGGCGACCGGGTGGTTCTGCACTGTGCCAGGCTGTTCCACCTTAATGCGCCACTCTGAATAGCCATGTGTTTTCTCGTAGATGTTCTCCAATTAACCACTACTCTTTATTGTAGATGTGTAAGAAAGTGGCTCAACGTTCTTAATCAGCTACCAGGCGGAGGGCTAATTTATCAAGGGACGGCAAATTAATATTTTGTAGTTTGAAAGAAAACGAAACTTTTTTCTAAAATAGTTCACCTTCCTTTTATGCTGTTACTTAAAACAAAATGAAAGAAAGTCCAAGAATCGGCGTGAAATTTAAAGAAACGACTGCGATAGTAGTTTATAGTTTAATGTACTTGGCTGCCCCAAGTGGATATTTTCATGAATGTAAAAACCAAATCTCAATCAAACACATAAATAAATGTCTGTCTCTTTGAAACTGGACCTAGATATTTATATGTCTTTTAAAAAACTAAAACATTATTATAATAATAATAATAATTGCTAGTAGAGTAGAATGAAATGTAACGATATCCTTAATTTGTTTCATACAAGTTTAATTTTTTATAAGATTATCTTGTAAGTTTCTTTCATTATTACATTTGTGAAACCTTTTCCCCAAATAAAGCTGTTGTCTGTAGAAATGATGTGAAATAATTTTTGTAATAATTTAATGTGATTGAAACCTATTTTAGACATCACCAGGTCACTCTTAACGTAAATCACAGCCATTTAAACCAAACTAAAAACAAAACTCGTGGCCCCAGAGTCTGGAACCGAAAATATGCCAGGTAAACGAACAGCTCAATTTCTAAAACAAGTAGTTTCCAATTATAGTTCTTCTTTCATATGCTAATTATAAATTCCTTGGCCCCCTAACATCCGTCTTTTAACAAAATTAAAATTAAAACCCAGACACATCTTAAATAATTAAACTCACTCCATATTTTAATTAAATGACAAAAACGGCATCTTTATTGGATGTAAACTTTTAAATAACAGACACTTCCTCCATATTTACTTTGAAAATAAACAGTATATTGCATTGCTAAATGAATTTATAGTTAGCATAGTAGCATGTTAAATTATGCGCATACTCTAATTAAATAAATTTGAATTTAATAAGAAAATTTGGGTATGTGTCGTGTTATAATACCTGATTAATATTCTTGATCTTATTGCAGCTTGGTGACGACACTGCAGACTGACCACACGAAGACACCGCCAGGGTGTCCTGGCCTCTCACTGCGTACATACTTGCGTAGTCAGTCAGTTGTGTAGAGATTAGTGTCTCATTTTTTGTACATTAGACTCTTTTCAGCAATATTTCATTCCAGTTTCCATGTGATGTTACTGTATTACTCATTAAATAAAGATATTTTTATATGTACGTAACGGACTATCTTACGGAAGTAATGTTCAGTTTCCTGTCCAGACGCCAGATTGATAACGCGGCTAACAATATTCGTATCCTTCCACATTCCATGACCACCTTTTCAGATTATATCTAAAAGTTTCACAAATCTTGCAAAATCTTTATGTTTATTTTGTAATAAGTTTTAATTACTGTACTCGTAGCCAGAATTGTGTACAAATTGTGCATTCTTAAGACACATCATTTGCTCTTAAAGTGTAAATAGTCTAAAGCTAGAAATAAAAGCAGGGATTTACAAAATTTGACACAGTATTTCGTACCGGGAAGCGTCGTATTGATATTAAACTATGCGTGTCAAAAATTAATGTATCCTGTAGTCCAGAGGTTCCCAAAGTGTGGAGAAACATTCTTAAAATCCTTTGCTTGGTTGAGGCAGTTTAGTTGTCTTACAGTGCTGTATACTCATAGCTAAATTTTATGTCAAATATGTTTCCTTGCACTTGTTCTGGAAGGGGGGCGGGAAATTTATGAAATGTTTTAAGGGGGCGCAAGGTATAAAAGTTTGGGAACCTCTGCCGTAGTCCATAATTAATATTGCCAAGTGTCACGATCTGGGATGTGCCAAATCTCTGGCTTGCAAAGGAGCAGGTAGATTGTGGAAAGAAGTGGGAACTTCGATGTGTCCATTTATATTTCACCTGCTCACGTGTGGAAGACATTCAGGTTTTTAATTCCCTTATCGCATATGAATATTGCATTAATGCATCTCATTTATGTGTGTAGAAAAGTGCTTTACTTTCGCAGTATTCACGTGCTCGCCTTGAGTTCTGTTGTTATTTATTTCAGTGTGTGATGTGGCTGTATTGTCGTAAGGCATGAGCCAAAAATGTTTTATTGTTCAAGCTTTTCAGTCACTTGGTGTTCTGTTTCGTTCAAGATGACTACTGAGTTGCCGAGCAGCGGTTTTGGAGTGGCAGATATATTCTGCTTGTATTTTGGAGCCAAATGTCTTGTTCAGAATATCAATTGAAATTTGTTATTTGTTGCTTACAGACACGCGCATTTTTTTTAAGTGTCATGAAAGTGTGAGAAAACACGAAATTGTGTTTTACTTTACGGTGCCTATATTAAAAAGACCAGTGTAGATTAGTGGAACATGGTTTTATTTCATTTAAATTTTAGGAATGATAAGAACTCTTATGCGAGACAGTTAATTGTGTTTTATTATACTAGTGTTGTGAATGGATTACATTAAAAAAATTTAGTTTTTGAGTGTTATGATTTTAGTTTAACTTATAAATATCGCCTGAAAAACATTTTATAGTACTAAGATTTCTAAAACATTACTGAAATAAGCTGCTAGTCAACATTACCACTCTTCTTATGGTCATACAGATGATACGTAACTGCATTAATCTGTGAAGATGTGGTTCTGGTTAATTTTAATTTTCTTTCCCATCAGTGTTGTAAATTTTAAACGGTGAAATTTTTGTATTACTTAACAGGTCTAGTTTATACTAGTGAAATGTTTAAGGAACAGTAATTGACGTTAACATAAAGCCTGCAGCATTGACCCTATGTTTGTGTGTCAGGTTATGAAGTTTCTCTTAGAAAGACGAAACCAAAGAAGTCAGGTACGCTACAATTTAGTCTACCCCAAGATGAAATCATGAAAGCTGAGAACTCGCGTAAAATAGAAATCTTTCAAATCATTTAAGTTCTACATGTTCCAAATGTTTCTGTAGAGTAAATACAAACTGATGTGCCTAATGAAAATATATACTACATAACAACGTATGCTCTGGTAAATCAGCCAAACAATGCAGTAAGAAGCAAAACATGCCTGAACTTAGGATCTCCCTATGGCCTTTTCCTAAAGGTGGACAGACTGCCTCCAAGCAGTACTACAAAGTGGTCAAATTGCCACTGTTTCATTATTACGTGGCTTCAAATTTGCACGACTTTACATTACTGATATTCTTACTTGTCTTTTTAAAAATCTTCTCCAATGAGCACTTCGAACCTGTTGTCCGAGTTCTATTGTAATTATGCATTTTATGTTCTGTTATCGAAACAATGAATAGAAGTACGCAAAAAAGCATGTATTTTATACCATTGATTAAGTTATGGAACTGCAGTAGTAACTAAAGAAGACAGAAGAAACATCAGATGATGCATAATGTAAGGACCTTCTGAGTGCGTGGATGCGTGTGTGTACGGTCGAGGGGAGAGGGGTAGCAGAACGTAAAACAATACATTTCAGACGGTCTGTCTTTGTCCACTGTTAAAACAAATTTATGCGTTTTAATTAGGGTAGATATTTAATTCCGTGCATAAGACAATCATAAACGAGTAGTCTCTGTATCCATGATGAGCCTGTCCGAGGAATATCATAGTTTCTTTTGTTTTCACCAGGCCTTTTAACTGTACCAGCCAACAACACCACGTGTAAGTGCTTTGTAGAGCATCGTCAGACAAGTGGCTGAATCTGATTGATATAATAAGTCAGATGTAACAATTATAATGGCATAAACTATTCAAGTAGTTTTATCGTTCTGCATACCCGTCACTCATTCCCAATGCAAACCCTAGCTTCGAGTGCGACTGGACCTGGGAGTTAATTCTTCTGCTTTTATATGTGTAGCTTGTGAGCGAAACTTCTAAGTCGAAGAAGGATATTGTGTGGAGAAAGGCCGAAAGGTAAAGCCCGGTAAAACTTTTCTCATTGAACTGCTGATTCAGGTTAAGTTAGGTTAGTCGTGATCCCTTCCTCCTAGAGAATTCCCAAATTTGCCGACGGTGGATTATTGTGTCGGGGCGGAGGGTACTGCATTGAGATGTCACTGTTCGAAAATACTCATCAACAGATCCTGTTTCGTTGGTTTAATACATGGTGACTACTCTCACCCCCTCCCCCCCAAGCGCCTACATGGCATATAGAGGGACAGATTTACTTTTTAACTTTCCTTTTGTTTTTGGCTTCTCAAAAATAAATCCACCTGCCCCACTCAGTGACAAAATTGCACAAAGATGTTTTAGTAACTTAGTACTTGGCGGTGATCGCTATAATTATATTGTAATGGTGTTGCGGTACGATTAAAGCGAATAAATAGGAAACGCTTCCAGGAGACAGAGTATTGATAAAAATAAATAGACCCAAGAACACATTAACTATCCTAAATTAAGTTTTCTCAGTCCCTCTAGGCTGTGAGAACATTTAATGCCAAAACCGTATTTCTGCAGTTCTACTTCATCTGACTCATTTGATGCTATGTAACTCGTGAAAATGATACAGTGTCGCTGTATAACCTACCCTCTTACCATCAACTAGTAGAGTTTTGTAATGAAATGTTACTGGGAAGTTTTTTCTCTAATTAACAGTGCTAAGTTCTTGAAAACGAGTGTGCATGTGTTCTCCAGTTCTCCAAGTGCATTTCTACTTATTCTGTGTTCCTTGTTCGCCTTCATGTTTATTTATTGATGATCTCAAAGTTATCCAGATCCAAATTTGCATGTACATGTTTGTATAGAACTTTATGTCTTCAATCGTTTATCATTTGAAGCTTTTGAATATTTTTTGCACAGATACTGCAGCTAATATGACGTCACCCTTTTCAAACTTGCATCGTCATGACTGAACGCACTCTTACGTCGTTTGTTTTGGAAGAAAGACGAACAGTTGAATGCTGTTCCGGCTTCCTTCAAGACAGTGAAATACTTGCAGAACAACTTCTAAGGTAATTTGTTTGTGGACTTCACCACAACACGGTAACCAGTTTACAGTGCCATATGCTTTTCTGTTAGTGCTGATAGCCGTAAATAACCCACGTAAATTCAGTGAAAGGGTCTTGCTTAAATTGGAATAGATTTGTTATTCTTACATTCGAAATTAGGAACTGTAGTGAGTGATTCGTTTAACAAGAGTCTAAATACTATAAAGGAAAACAAACTATAATAGACGTTAGTGAGGCCTAGGCGTTCCTAAGTGCAGAGAAAACGATATACATTACTTTTTATTAGGTTGCAGGTCGAAGTTGTGTTTCGAAAGTGCATTCTCGTAGTGACAGTGGATTTAGTCTCTTGATTTGTGAGTGATATGATTCAGACAGAAGAGAATGGATGTTTTCTTCAAGTCCTTCAAACAGAGGATTGTGTTTAATAAATCTGTTGGCAAATTCTTGGGTGAGTACAAAATTATTTTCCTTCCTGTGCTTTATGTCCTGTTTAACGTGAGGTATATTCTTTTTTCAAACATTGTTTGTAAATATCAGTAATTTACCCTCTAGTGAATAATTTGTTAGCTATGATAATACTCGCAGATTTTTAAGAAATAAACATCAAGTATTGAGTTATTCCAGAAATTTCTGTTTTATATATATATATATATATATATATAATTATCGTAAATTTTCTTAGAATAAAAATTTGAGATTGTGAAACGGGATTTCTGTTGGAGGCCAACTGTCATGATCGCACGGTATATTGATTATAATTTGAGGTATGATATTATAACAAGTGTAGGTAAACAATGGCCTACGGGTCGCATCAGACCCTTCAAAAATCCAGCCCTGCCCCTGACTGCCTTATATTAATTCGTTCTTTTTACATTTCTAGGGTGCATTGTAGTTGAAAGAAAATAGAAATGTTTGCGTAAATATACGTTTTAGTTTCGGTGTACACATTTTTAACATTTGTTAGTGGATACGAGAAAGTTTAGTGGTGTTTGTTTCATGACTAGTATACAAAAAACTAGCAGAACGTCTTCACGCAAGAAATCCACAAACTGCAAGACACATACACTTTCTTTGTCCCGAAATGTTGTTACCAGGCACGTGTCTGGAGACATCAATGCCAGTGAGATGTGCAAAGTTTCAATTAATGTACTGTATCGCATAACGTTAGTGACAAGCTATTGCTTGATTGATATCGATAGCATCTGCTAAATGGGTGCTTATAGAGAAATTGTAGGAAAAGTTGTAATTTTAAATTTGAGCTGTTAGTCACTTTACCTCATGGACGAAGTTTAAAAGTATGAGAGGCGTGTGGCTAAGATTTTCCACAATGGAATTAAAGCTTCAGAGTTAATTTTGTACAAAGGAAACCTATTGTGTAAATGGAATTGAAGAATCCAATAATTTCTCACCTTTTCTACTTCCTTCTATGGAGTGTGGGACGTTTTTATCTCTTGTAAGAAATAATTCCATACTTTTGCCTTGTAGCTTCGCTACGGACATGGTTGACAAGCAAAGCAGAAACTAATAAAACTTTCGGCGAGAGGGAACAAGAAAACAGAAAGGAAGAGTAAATAGTCTAAAAGAAAGCACTGAACAGAATGGTCGGCAGATGTAAAGACAATCTTGAAGTACAAGACTACGGAACTGTTTTTCCAAGCTCAACCGAACGCACAATAAAACCAGTCTTCTGTTATCAGAGAAATTCCCCGGAACCATAAATACAGGGGTTAGAGAAACGAAGATGGAGTCCATATATCTCTCCACTAAAAATAATTTTCGGTTGTATTCACTGATGCGAACCCGCCGTCCTACTGTTTGTTAAAAAAATAAATCACAGCGGCTGCTAGACATGTACCTGCAGGTTCTGCGAGAAGGATGAACTCAAATTTCTATTCATATTTGCTTTTCTTTTTTGCCTTCGTGCATTATGTAACTTAAAGCTTCTGCCGACCTCAAAAATTCTCTTTTTTAGCACCTCCATTTATCCTTCGCCATCTGCGTCCATATTTCCACGCTGTCTTCGGTCATATGCCTTCACAATGGTCTTTCTGTTTCGTCCTGTTTGTTATAAAATAAGTTTTATTACTGACATTAAATGTCTTCCATTTTGTCTAATCTTGTAGGAGTGGGTATTAATTTTTTTTATTTATGTTGCTCCTATCCTCTCATCTGTGTTATGTCTTGTGCAATTCTGACGTATTTCACCACTTGTTTAATTTATATGTTATTTTACTTTTAGCTCTGTTTTCCTACGCACTGTTTTACTGCGAAGTTACTCAACCTAATATTACATGTTAT